GCATGCTCCGCTTTCTCTACAAATCTTCGTGTGCTTGTTATATATTCGTATGCAATGTATAGGATACTAAATATCCCTTTGAAGAAATTGATTATGGAGGGTAGTAGTGTCACGACCCGACCCGATCCGGGACGGATCCCGCTCACACCGGGTCGCGACTGGAACGAACAAGCTGACTGACCAGGATCTGGCTTTGGAATTTGTTTCGAAACTGAATCTTCCAAATATTTCAACTCAAACACAGACACACAGAGCTACTATGAAACATCAAATGCAGCGGAACAAAACATCTATATTTTTCTTTTTTCATTTCCAAAACAATCATCTACAACTACAGGCCATGGCTCAGACAGAAAGAAACAGAGCAGAAGAGCCATGTCTATACAAAAAATCAAAAGTACAAAACAATACCTACAAATCAGACTCTGAAATCTAGTCCTGGACTTCCTTCCCTTTCCCAGAACCTGAAAACCACCAGAAAACAAGAGTGAGCTCAACAGCTCAGCAAAGCGACAGACCTCCAATCAAAACTTCTAGAATCCAAAACCAAACACATCAGACCAAATCCAATCAGAATATTCGTACAGAAATCAGAATCAGACAGATCAGAACAAATAGATCAACAGAATCGTACAGATCAGAACAGAACAGATACGAACATATATCGAATCAGAAGCAGATCAGAACAGATCAGAATATCCAATCAGAACAAACAGAACTGTACAGAAATCAGATGTCATATCAAATCAGATATCAGATATATAATTAATAGCTAAACTAAGATATCAGATATATAATTAATAGCTAAACTAAACTAAACAGAATCACTACGGATTCTGACCCTTATGTCTCCCTTGTGCTCACGGCACCAGAATTCGCTGAATAATTAATAGCTAAGCTAAATGTGCTCACTCAAAACGACTGATTTCAGCTTATAATACATAGATCGGCCCGGCCGATCGCAATATCGTCCTGGGACGATCTGAACAAAATCCATCATCCTGGACGGTTCACAGGCGATTCTCAGGACGAAATCATGCACTGAACCGATCGGCCTGGACGATGTCCCTATCGGCCTGGCCGATACCTACAGGAAAATCACCTGGAGCAATCTGGACACATTCTAGAGCAAATACTCAACTGATCATCCCAGGACGATCCCAGATCGTCCTGGACGATCCTGGAGCAAAATCAGCACTTTACAAGTAGTTAGTTGAAGGATTATTTAACACATTCCACTAATGATGACTTAGAGGAGATGGCCAAATCAAATGAAATTTTTTAGTGTTGTATGCATTTCTGGTCAAATGGTGAAGACGGCATATTTTGGCACACACATGTTGAAGTTATGAAGATTCCCTTTTACAGAAATGTAGTCTATTTTAGTGAGGTAGTTGGAGATTTCTACAACAGATATTTATGAAATAGCTGGGATATCTAGCTCCAATTAACATTCTTAAGGCTAAATTTGATGGATTATTATGTTGTGCACATCTAATAGTAAGCCTTATCTTATTGGATGTATTTTTGATATTATTATGATTGACCATCCATTAAATGTACAATGAAGGGCATCCTTATTGATGAACGTCATTTCTTTATATAATTGTTCAGGAATAATACCGTCCAATTCCCTAACAAAATTAGTTGTTGGGGGATCAATTTTATCTGCACAATCTCAGGCCTGTGCTGATCATAGAAGTTCGACATAATCGTTATTTGCCTCCATAGCACCTAAGACGATCTGGTGATGAAATGCATGCATACTCACGGACTAACTCATGTTCAGGCAATGATACATCATATTCTTTTGCAATTTTATTTCTTTCAACCCCTGCGAGGGTTTCACTTGATCTCTCACTAGTTCTGTTGTCCATCGTCTCATATCCTTCAACAACTAGCATGCCTTCACCATCATGTCCATGATCAACTGCTAACTTTGTTGGTGTAGGTGAAATCTCAGTGCACTTGAGGCCGTCCAGTCACTAACACTTGTATAACCTTTTGCATGTACTTCTAACAATGTTGGACGCTCACTCATACTTAAGGAGCCTACACTTATTGGTTCATAGTGTGGTGAACATTCGCTGACACAAAAGCATCGAGTTTCACTTGTAACAGTCGGTACTATAGTGGGCCTGCAACACACAATACTTGTAATGGTTAAGCTTAAATTAGAACATACTAATCTAGATGGAATATAAGTTTCATCCACTATATGTTTGGTGCGTACGAACCTTTCTACTTGGTAAGAGATTATCGAGTCTTGATAAGTCATAATTATGAGAACTAAAACTTACGACGCTTCTACAGACTTGCTCAATTTGAACATAAATAATTAAAATACGCCTTCAAGTTTTTTAAAGTATGAACTCACAAACCTCATTGTCTGTCATTTGAATTGATACATAACCTCCATTATTCGGAAGACAACAATCAAGGTCAACCGGACATATTTCATTATCACGGTGCAATGCTTGGAGAATTATAGCATGTAACTCTTTAAGTGTAACATTCTCATTTATTTCAATTAGACGATTTCTTCCACCGATGTATGAAGGGATGAATTCCTTCATAATGTTTAGATAACTATCATAATACATAATGTAGTGTGACATTTTGGAGATTGATGTTGGATGTGGATGGCCCTATACAAGACATCAAAGAGTTCAATTGGTTTTCTTTCTTAGTAAATTGTTCTAGATTTTAATAGTTATTAAGATGAGCAAAACACTATAGAAATATTTTAATTTCCAATCTCAGAGAACATACTTTAACAACTTAAATATTATGTTACGAAAATATTAATATAAATACTATTAAATTTAACTTAAAGTTTTAACTATTTATGTATGTAATATTTTACAACACTAAATTTATTATAATGTTTAGAATATGCCTGAACCAAAAATCAATTTTTATAACACTAAATTAAATAATATATTTTATAATAGTAAATTAAATAATAACAAACTATTTTGAATTAATATACTAAATTTACATTTTAAATTTAATATAATAAAATATTTTATAAAACTAAACATCTAATTTCATAAAATTGAATTTTTGGAACATGTAAATTACATTTAATTATCATATTTTATTTAAATTAATAATTTATCAATAAATTTATTTATAATGTAATATTATTTAAATGTGACATTAATATTTTATTAAATTTTAAGTATAATTAATTAGTTAAAAATGTAATATTTATTAAAGATGTTTACATAATTTATAATGTAATATTATGGTACATTAATAACTTATAATGTAATATTTTATTAAATAAATATGAAATAATAATTACATTTTAAATGTAATATTAACTTTTATTTTTTTTAAAATAAATTATTATTTTTAATAAAAAAATAAATATTTTATTTATTTTCAAATATTATTACATAATATATATATATATATATAATTATATATATATATATATAATTAATATATATATTAAATCAATGTTGTAATTATATATTATTTTATAATTTTTAATTTTATTAATATTAAACATAAGTATAATGGAAACTTTGTTTACAGGTGAGATTAAAAAATTTTAAATAAAGGAGAAATTAATCTCCAGAAAACTTATAAAGGAGAAATTCATCTCCAGAAAACATAAACAACTATATATTATAATCATTTCGGAGAAAAAAATAAAGGGAAAATTAATCTGAATAAAACTTAACAACTAGAACGGATTAGTAAGGTTAATATAATATTTGATATATTAAACAAATTTAGATTTTGAAGCTTAACATATTTAAGAAGAGCTTATTCACATAGGCGCCTCAATAGGTTTTTAAAAGAAGAACCTTAGCATTTTATTTAGATAAATAGTTTTATTACTAATAAAAAAATCTATTAATATATAGATTCCTATTAATTTATAAGAACAATGAATCAAACTATGCAATCTATACATATAAAATTTGTTTAAAAAGAAATTTTGTATGATTTTTTTTTCAAGTTACATAAAATTTAAATCATTAAACTTTTAATTTTTTTTTAAACAGAACAAATAATTTAACGTCATCTGAACAATGTTAAGTCTCTTCTCAGAAAAAAAAAATATATTAACATTATTTGGAACAAATAATTTAACTCTCTTTTCAGGTAAAAAAAATTTGAATAACAATGTTCATTTGAGCAAAGTTGATAGTTTCTTAACAAAACTAACTACTATACCTTGAATAATAGTTTAACCACTAAATCTAAAAAAATTAAAATAAAATGCGCAACTTAAATTTTGCTCAGTACATACTCAAACAAAAATGGCTACAAATAAAATATCTTAATAACATAAATAATAAAACTTTACATTTTCTATAAAACATTACATAAAAAAATCTAAAGAGAAAATAAAATACATGCAAATTTTGAGCTATATCTTGAAAAGGAAAATTTCCTTCGAGCCTTCTAGCTACAAGAAAATAGGGAATTAGCGACCATCAAAATTGGTCGCAAAAATAAATAGCGGCCAAAAATATTTGGGTCGTTGATTTGTCGCAGTAGCCTTGTCGCTGAGGCTTTTAGCGGCCATTTATTTTTGGTTGCAAAATTAGTGACATCTAATTAGTAAAATTGGACATATTAGCAACTTTATTTTCGGACGCTAATGAATATTTATTTGGATGCTATTTATTAATTTTAATAATTCATTTTATTACTAAATTTTTCCTATAGCAACCAAAATAAAATTTGGTTGCAAAATAATCAACAAAATAAATCACATTCCCCCTTTAATTTCATGTAGTATTGATATATATTTATGGATATAAAATTTGGTGATATTTAGTAAAAGAAATTATTATCCAATTATTATTCCTTGGATATAGCAATTAAGATCAATCCATCACTCCTTTATAAATAAATTTCATAATAGAAAAAATAACACAAATTTCATTTGCTTGAGGTAACAATAATAAAAAGCATAGAATCCAAACAATATACTCATTTATTAATATAATTATCAAGGATTTGCTAGGAGAAAATAAAAAAATTTATTCATTCATATACTTTTACAAATACATCCATATAAAATAGATCTCAGAAATTATTAATCATTAAATCATAATATTTACAAAATGATAACATCTAGTCAAATGTGAGTAGTTTGCAATTATTCGGGAGCTTATCCATTTTCCAGGAGCCATGGCTTAATGAACTGCAAAATGAAACAACAACAAAAATATTATTGAAAAGCAATGATATCATGTTGTTATAATATATGAAACAAATAAGTTATAAAGAACAACCTAGTCTTTATCACTATCAATGTTGATATGTACATTAACATCATCTTCACTACAATATTCAGCTAATGTTGCATCATATTCATCTTCTTCATCTTCATAACATATAAAATCAGCAATATGAGTTGATTGCATATGCACATTTTGTACAAAATCTAGAATTTTTTACTCTACATCTTCTCTATGTAAGGGACCCATCTCACCAAAATCATCTTGGAAGTTCATATCATTTTGCTCATCTTGTTAATACACTATATTTTCAGTTAGTTGATTAGTGTTAAGTTGATATTCATTCAAGTAATTTATGAGGGTGGGATCAAATAAATGCATATGTTGCACTTTATGTACAACATGTCAATCACCTCTTAACTTTGTATCTTGAATGTAAAATACTTGAGTAACTTGACCTGCTAATACGCACGGTTCATTATCAGACCAAGTTTTACTTATATTTATAGATGTGAAATCATCATCAATTATAATGGTCTTTTTATGCTTAAGATCAAACCATTTGCACTTGAACAATACTACATGATTTCCATCAATATAGCTCAAATCAATAACATTAGTTAAAATTCTATAGAAATCAATACTTTCATCTTTATGAGAACCCTGAACTGATACACCACTATTCTGGGTTACCCTTCAAATATCACGTTTGTTAATTAGAAGCTTAATTTCATTAACAATGCACACTGAATATACATTAACATAATATTTAGACCTATTGCTAAAGAATAAAGATCTTCTTAATTACCTTCAAGTGATCCATGAAGATTCAAGTTCTTCATCTAAGCAAGAAAAGAATAAAGTTTTGTGAAATTTTGAACATTAGAAAAAATTATAAATATAAATAGTAAACAAAATTTAGAAATTGAGTATCTCACTCTTTGTTCAAACCATAATAGAAAATGTTCTTTTTGCTTTGTTGCCACATCTTGAATAAATGAATATTCTTTTCTAAGCTCATTCTCATATTCACTAACACACAATTTTTATAAAATTAAATTGCAGATAATATTATTTATAAATAAATTTAATATCATCAGTATTTTAGTTAATTATGTACTAAAGGTATGACTTTAGCCCTTAACAATTGTTAAGAACATACCATCGAACTAAATTATACTTACTCCAAGATAATATAGTGAAAAGTGGTTGGACAAAATGATGAATCCTTCTAAAGAAAAGTGAAAGTTGATTTTCATGCTAATGAACATCTTCATTATATTATTCATCTTGATTATTTTTAATCTTCATTCCACGAAGGTATCTAGAACAAAATTTTAATGCCCCATTAACAACATAAGTTTATGCAATTGATCCTTCTGGGCAAGCTTTGTTCCTAACATTCCCTTTATGAACACTTAGATTTCTAGCATATAAAAAAAATTTAATCAAAATTTGTGCAAATAATTAATAAAAAATATATAAAAAGTAAAAGTTATTAGCACAAGAAGTAACCTTTCAATTGGATACATCCACCTATACTGAATAGGTCCAGCAAGCATAGCCTCACGCGACAAATGAATAGCAAAGTGAACCATTATGTCAAAGAAAGCAGGTGGAAATATCATTTCAAACTGACAAATTGTATTGATGATCATATATTCTAATTTCTCCAAGACATTCAATCTCAACGTCTTAGCACCTAGTATCCTAAAAATCTTGACAAATCACTTAAAGCATTATGCACATCCTTATTTAAATATCCACGCAATCCTAAAGGAAGGATTCATTATAATCGAACATGGCAATCATGGCTTTTTTAATCCCGCAAGTTTACCATTTTGAATATGTACTGATCTAGATATATTTGTTGCATAATCATCTGGAAACTTTACTGATCTAACAAAGTTGAGAAACCCTTCTATCTCTTTTGGAGATTGTGTGTAAGAGGCTGGAGGTTTAAGATACTTCTCACCTTGTTTTTGCAAATGTAGCTCATGTCTTATGCCCATATCTTGTAGATCCAAATGAGCTTTCTTTGTATCTTTTGTCTTTCCTTCTATATTTAATAAGGTCTCGAGAATGTTATCACAAATATTCTTTTCAATGTGCATTACATTAAGGTTATGACGTAATGCAAGACTTCTCCAATAAGACAACTCAAAGAATAAACTTTTTTTTGTCCAAGTTGATTCATGAAGGTTACATTTTCTTTTTCTGCAGCTAGGATACTTTCTAAACTTCAAATCCTTTAATGATTCCATTTATGATAAAATTTCATCTCCTCATAAAACTTGAGGTCTCACCCCAACTTAATGCTTGCCATTAAACTTCCAACTTTTTCTCCATTTGTGCTCTTTAGGCAAGAAGCTCTTGTGACCCATGTAATAAAATTGTTTCACAAATATTGTGAATTAAGTGTCACTATCACATATTGGGAAAGCTTTATAACCATGTATTTTATGACTTGATAATATACCATATGCTGGAAAATCATTTATAGTCCATAAAAGGGAAGCATGCATTTGAAAGGTATTCATACTTATAGAAACATAAGTTTTGACACCATTTACCCATACGTTATTTAATTCTTCTATAAGGGGCTTTAAATGCACGTATATTTCTTTCCCAGGAACAACTGGACTAGAAATTAATAGTGTCATAAACATGAACTCAGATGACATACAATTCTAAGGAGGTAAATTATATGGAATAAGAATGATGGGCCACATGCTATACAAAGTGCTAATATTACCAAAAGGATTGAATCCATCTGAAACTAATCCAAGGCGTACATTACGAGAATCTTTTGCAAAACAAGGAAAGCTAATATCAAAATCCTTACAAACTTTAGAATCAACTGGATGCCTAAAGATATTTTCATCCCCAAACTGATTTTTCTTATGCCACTCATTTCATGAGTAGTTTTTCTTGACATATATAACCGTTGTAATTGAGATATAATGGGAAAATAACGTAGAATTTTATGATGAATTTTCTTTCCTTTTTCGTCATTGTTGACCCACTTTTTCTCCCATATCAGGTCAAAGAGTTGACCTGGTCAAGTCTGACTAGGCTAGACCCCAGGGCCCACCCCGATGAGTCCAGGGAGTCAAGTCAAGTTTGTTAAGCCTAGACCAAGATCCTGGGTCAACCTAGTTGACCAGGTCAACCCGGGTTGACCCAAATTGACCTAGGAGAGCCTAATTGAATTCCAAATCAATTTCAACTCTTCTATGGCTCAAACCTCATACCCATTGGACCTATTTGACTGAGTTGACCAAGTCAACATGTGACTTGGTCAAACTAAGTCATAATGGGTCAAATCGACCCTTTAAAACTCATTTTAATTCTCATTTAAGGCCCATTTAATGCAAAAATGAATTCCCTTTGGATTTGAAATCCAAACCACGGCCTCTTAAGCCTAGTTTCCCTCCTAATTGAATTAGGATTCGATCTTGGCCGTCCACCTTAGGTCTAGGAGCTTTAAATATTAAAAATCAAGTCTATTTTTGGACTTTTACTCTTGCTCGATCTCTAGAGCTCCTCAGGCCCTGAGATTTTGTGAGAGTGCTCCCACGACTCTTCCCCACCTTTCCCAAGTCGAATCCCACCGTCCCGAGCCACCGCCGGCGTGATCTCCGGCGAACCGAGGCCAAGGGTCGTCCAGAGCTTCTTCCGTTCAATCGAGGCCTTTACGGAGTTTGAGTTCAAGAGAAGATTTGTTCGAGGATCTTCTACGAGCTCAACAAGCTCAAGATCTCCTGAATCCACTGTGTGGATTAGGTAAAATCTCAAACCCTAGATAGAACACTTAGATCTAAATAGCTTTTTGAAAAGTTGATTATTCATCAAACAAATTTTCCCCATGATTTCTGTTCATGTATGGGACTTGTGTTTAAAATTTTGCGAAGTTTTGTTGAGTATCGAGCGAGAACGAGGCAAAAAACCCCCTTGGGGTTCCGGTGTCCGTCCGCCCGTGCTAGGTGCGTACTGGACCGTTGATATGTGGATCAACAGTTCAAATCGAGCAGCACGGCGGGTTAGTCCGACCACATGAGCTGTTTGGAGGATCGGATCTCGGTCCGCCGAGATCTGGACCGTCCATCCGGATCAAGAGCCGATCGGACGGCTCCTCTCCTTGCCGACGTGGATGAGTGAACCACGCGATGATTGTCGCATGATTGCGGCAATCAACAATGATTGGCTGTGGACCACGGGTTCAATCCCGTCGTGCCAAGTGTCGCATGCTGGATATTCTGGATTTAAAATTGATTTTAAATGGATTTTAAACATGTTTTCTTCATAAAATCATAATAAAATAAATATAGGGCAAAAAAATACGTGCAATATCTCGTTTTGTTTGTATTCTTGGCCTCTTTATTTTAAAATTATTTTTATATAAAAATAATAAGTATATTTTGAGTTATTTAAGAAACAGTAAAAATACCTATTTTTACTATTATTTAAATTATTATTTTAATATAATTATCATTATATTATTATTTAATTATAATTGTTTATCATAATTACTATTGTATTAAATTATTAACTTACTATTTATTTTATTATTATTATTACTATTATTATTATTATTATTATTATTATTATTATTATTATTATTATTATTACCTCATTTTGACTGTCCTAGCAGATGTCTGTTGGGATTTTATTATTTTGGTGTTTAAATATTATCTATATAATTATTATAATAATTATTTTCAAATTACAAATTATTTTCAAAATTATTTAAAACTTCGATTGGGTATTCAGTGGGTCTCCCCTATATTTAATTATTATGAATTAACCTATTTTTAATTAGATTATTTTCTAAAGATTATATATTTATAATTATTTTAAGTATTTGTAAAATTATCTATATATATTAAATCTCCTAATTTTGGGAGGCTCACTACATGAAATTTTAAACTTAGCTTCCATATGTGAAGAGCAAATCATGGAG